CATAGGTTTTTTTAGTCTGCAGATAGATATTAAACACTTACTATATGCCAGGCACTGTTTTAGGCACTGAAGATTCAATAGAAAAATCCTCACCCTCTTGAAACTTACATTCCAGTGGGGAAAGACAGACAGTAAACAGTAAACAAACATTAAAACAACATAAATCATGTAGTAATAAAAATTTAAAAAATAGAGTATAGGAATGAAGTACTACTGAGGAAAAGAAAGCAGAAGAGGGGGATAGGGAGGGTACAGTGAGTTCTGGCTTCCTTGTTGGTTATCAAGGCCTGGACTATAACCAGCTGCGTGTCCACAGCACGGGATCCATCTTCATCCAACTGTTTTCCAACACTGTCCAAAAAACCCCAGAGTCTCTGTGGCTTCCTCTCTCTCCTCTGTATGGTCCATACTGGTTCTTGCTTTCATGCCTTTTTTAAAAGGCTTCCTATGAAGTCTTCTTTGACAATTCTAGCCTTCCTGGCCCCTCTATATTCTGGAGATCTGGGGGGACCATCCCACCTCCAGAACAAAAGGAAACAAAACAGAATATAATCACCCTCACCCCCACATAAATATATATGTGTGGTACTTTTGTTTTCAGGCTAATAGTTATTAAATTAATGTGTATTTGTTTCACCTGTTTGTTGTGCTGCACATCCCCCTTTCCGAATTTAAGGTCTTTGAGTTTGATGTGTTTGTTTTTTGCATGTTTATGGAACTTGCAAACAAAGCATTCTTGATGGTATATTGATTAAGAAGAAATATAAAAGTCAAAAGATATGATCTCCCAGTCTTTGGACAACTTCAAATATATTTAGGGAGATACACGGTGCTCTCCCTGAGGTAAGAAGACAGTGGAAAGACAGCCAACAAAAGCAAATACTTAATGGCATAGTATAGCAAATGTCTTTCAGATCTTTTCTTTCTTTCTTTTTTTTTTTTTTGGCTTTTACCCACAATGAAAAATGGATTTTACATCATGACTCAGTATATAATATTCACATACATTATCTTTGTGTACGTGTGTACAACCTAAATTTTACAAAATATTTACATTTTACAAAACAATATTTACTTTTTATATGCAATGCATGTGGATACTTTCTCTTTTGTTCTTGTTTTCCAAAAATGCTGATGGAAACCCTCTGAATTGATTCTATAACGCACCAACAAAACATGACCCACAGCTTGGAAAAAACTGGTGTAGCCAGGTGGTGAGTATAGGGAAGTGTGTGGACAGAGAGAGTGTGGAGTGGTAGGAATGCAGGGATGTCTATCTTGAAAAGATTATACTTGATCTATCTCTTGAAGGAAGTGTCCTTTTGGGATTATTGGGGTCTAAGACAGTGTTGATACTGAGTTAATACAGCAGTATGAACGAGGAAGGCACAAAGGTTGAAATAAGCAGTAAGTTCACAGGTCACTCAGAACAGAATTCTGACCCCTTTTTTATGATTGCTTTTATAGATTATGGAAATAATGTAAGAGTGATAACCAAAGGACTGAAAAAAGATTTTAAGGGCATATATTTTAGAAAAAATATTAATATTTGTAATTGGGAACAGCCTAATGGGAGAGCAGATCTATTGCATTTAATAATCAACAATATTATTTGCATTAATATTCCATATTCCAAAGTTTTTACAATCACAATTATCATTATATGTGCATAGTGGAGGTTATTTCCAGAAAAGAGAACTGATGCATAAAGGCAATACATTGTTCAAGGCACACTTACTTGAAGTGACTTTATAGCAGATTAGCTTTAGTACCTTTTAGCTTATGTTTCAGTTGTCAATACATCCTTGTGTGCATTACTGTGTTATCTTCAGGATTCCCTTTGAGTTCCTATATGATTTTTGGATCAAGCTGCATTTTAATACTCAGCTTTTCACCTTCTATTCTGTCTTCAAGAATACTTAATACATGTTGTATACCTTAACCCTAACCCAAACTGAGCTGACCCCAAGAGCTCAGAAGATAGGCATAAAATGTCAAATGAACAAAACTAGAATACTGAAACAATGATTACTTATTCCAATCCAACCCTAAACATTAGCACACCTCTTTCTCAAGGGTGTAAATTATTTGTTTGCCTTTGATGGCCTTACTTTGTTGCTGGGCTTTATTTCATTTTTTTGCAGAAAACTGAGTGATGGTAGGGGGTGGAGTCTGGAGGAAGGAAACCTGGGATAGAAGTCTATTTCAGAGCACATGAGTTGTTCAGGGAAACTAAAAAATGAGAAGCCAAGTGTAGATGTACAGAGCACAGTGGCTTCTTAGTTTCCTAGAGCTCTTTATATAATATTTCCTTCTGGAAGTGTCTGAGGGGAGGGCTCTGTCCCACTGTCAGCCATCTTTTGTTCTTGCTGTAGGTTTTCTCTTTCACCTTCAGAAATGGTGGGAAAACATGAAAGAAAAGGTCCCGGGCAGCAGGATTCCTGTGAAATTCCACACCTTGCATGGAACATAGGAATTGGAGTCCTTTAGCTTTACCTAAATTTTGCTTCTAATATCTTGATTTTAGTATGTTATCTTTGTAGCAATAGAATCAGAACTATTTTCTCTGCATCAGATTTGACTAAGACTAAAAATAGATGAACGAGGTCAAGCATGGAAGTGGCCCAGCTTCTCCTTTTCATTTTGTTTCAGTTTGAATGAGGAGGTGGCTCACACAGTTAACCAGAACAGCAGCTGGTTGGATGTCTGTGTGCTTTTAGCCAATTAGGATATTTTTGTGGGAAAGTTTCCAATTCTTAAGTCTCAGTTAAGGAGAGGTGGGAGGCAGCTGGTGTGAATGTCTGTCTGCAGGGTACATGCGCACTTACTCTGATCCAATATGGCACGACAGCAATGTGCTTATTCAAGAAAACAATTATCTCAATTTTCTTGTACTCTAAAACATCTTCGTCTCTATCATTAAAAGAAAAAGAGAAAGAAAAGCTAATGGCACCCAAATATTTTGCGATCTCTCAACCACCTCTAGTGAGGCTTTTTAGAAATGAAGTTAAACAAAGTCTAAAAGGGCAACAATAACTCCTAATCTTCCTGTACTCCACTGTCCCTCTCCTGAAGTCTCTATTTCATTAACTACCATCATCATTTCCTCTGTTTATCAGCATTTCTTGACTTCACTCTGTCCTTCATCCCTTGTTCTTCTAGTGGCCACCAAATCACTATTAAGCTGTCGTGGTGAGGAAGGTACAGGGAGCACATGGACACAGAAGACTTCCTAGAGGATTGATGAGTTAGCTGAGACTTTAAGGTTTAGAAAAATGTAGCCAGAAGAAGAGTGCTTTAGGTATTTTCCATTCGACAAATTCTTACTGCACATTTACTATGGGTCAGGCTTATGCTAGACTCTGCAGAGTCAGTTAGAAGATGGACACAATCCCTGCTCTCCTAGTATTAATACTTATAGGATGTTGAGGTAGGGGAAAAATAAACATGAAAATATAAGAACGAAATATCTATCTACGTGTCTATGTAACTATCAATAAAGTCCTCTGGGCCACTCTCCTTTACTGTACGTTAGGGAGTTAAAAGTGTCATCATTTTTTCCCTACAAAACTGTCTAACCAGCAATTACTTCTGAGTATCCAGGGCTCTTTCCTGCTGCTCCAGGCTCTGCTACCGCTGCCCAGAGCTCCCAATCAGAATCTCCCCATTAGGAGAATGTGGGGAGCCTACTTCCTCTATCCTTTCCTGTCTCTATCTCTATGCTTCACAACAGGGTCACAGAGCCTTTACTGAGCAGCTGGGTTAATTACACATTACACTATAAAAGGAGGACACTGTAAAATTGTCAGCTCAACTAGTCATTCCTCCATAGTTCATGGGAGAAGAACCTAATTTATACACTCAAAAAATTTATGCTAGCTGTTCCCTGAAGTGGCTGAGATAGATAAAATCAGTCTATGAAGGTTTCATTTGAGTGAGAGGGAAATAGGCAAGAAATATGTAAATATATATGTTGCCAACATAATTAGAAACGGACAAAAGAAATAAACAGGGTGATACTTCTGATAGCTTTTCTGGGAAGGTGTCTCTCTGACAGCACTCTGAAGGAAGTGATATATCTGAGCTGAGACCTGAGGGATGGGCAGGAGGTGGCCTGTGAATAGAGCTGCAGAAATCGGAGAGGAAGCTCTTCCCAGGGGTTCCCTGTCCTCAGGTAATTTCCTCTCTTCACAGGTGTCACCTAATCTCTTCTTGCTCACAACCTGGCCACCTATCTTTCAGGACAGCTCAGTCTGACCCACGAGAATGGGTTTCCTCCCAGGCAGGCCTGCTTCATGGTCGCAGGCAACACTTAGTAAGTCCCTGGATGGCGGGTCCTGTTTGAATGAACTGTTTCACCACCACCGTGAAGGCTTCCCATTCAGGACCCTGCTGTTCAGCCCATTGTCTAGGGACATTTCTTTCATTACTGTTATTGAATGGCATAGCCTTTGAATGGATTATTAATCCGAAATCCTTTGTTTTCAATTCCTGTTCGTCACCCGGTTGATTTCCCAGACCATATTGTTCTAAGCCTCAACTGCACTAAGGTCAGGAGGCCACCGAATAACTTCACACGCCGCGGTCAACACGCCGCGTTTGCTGCCACCTCTAGAACGGCGGCTCGCAGACGCCAGGCAGCTCCGGAGGCCCGGGTGCGGGCGCCGGGATGACGTCACTGAGGCGGGCGGCCCGCGCGGGCCGTGACGTCACGCGGGCGGGCCTGCCCGCCGTGAGGTCACCGGGTGGGCGCGGCCAGGCCGAATCCCCAGTGTCGTCACGGGAGGGGGCGGGCCCAGAGCGTGTCAGCGCAGCCGAATCAAAACAAGCCGGACACCCGCCTTTTCCCTCCTGCTTGGGAGCGTCTCGCTCGCGCCCCGGGCCCGCGGCGCCCGCGCGGCTGCGAGCCTCGGTGGCCGCGCGCCGGCTCCAGGAAGCCGGGGAGGGCGCGGCGGCCGGGATGGCGCGGCGCGGGCCGCGCGGCTAGACGGGCGTCGAAGGAGCCACCGGCCCGCGCCCTCCGTCCTTTCCCGGCGCCGGCTCCGCGCGGGGAGCGGCCGCGCCGCGGGGAGCCGCCTTCGCTGACGCCGGGCACCTGGACGCTCGCGAGCGAGATGCCCAACCCCAAAAACAGCAAAGGCGGCCGCAAAAACAAGCGCGCCAACAGCAGCGGGGACGAGCAGGAAAATGGAGCCGGGGCCCTGGCAGCGGCGGGCGCGGCGGCCGGGGGGGCCCTGGCGGCGGCGGGCGCGCCGGGCACTGGCGGCGCGGCGGGCGCAGGAGGCGCGGGCACTGGCGCCGCGAACGCCGCTGCCGCCGCGGGGGCTGCAGCCGCGGGCGACGCCAAGAACGGTAAGACGGGGCTGGCGGGGCGAGCGCCAACTTCCTGCCCGACGGGGACGGCGCGGTGGCGGGGCCCTGGGTGGCGCGGGCGATGCGTGGACAATGCGAGAGTCAGGAAGTGCTCACCCCGCCCCTCCGCCCCGCCGCGGCTGCCCCTTCGCGGTCCCCACGCCTGGCGGCAAGGACTGATGTGCGGCCCCTGCGCGGCGTCCGCGCCCGGGGCAGCCCGCGCCCCAGACCCCGAGGGGCGCCGAGCTGCGGCAGCGCTGCCCTCCGGCCCTGCCGGTGCTGACGGAGCCTGGGTGCGTGCCGGGGCCCGAGGGAGCAAAGAAGGAAGGAAGGAAAGAGCTGCCCAAGTTGAGAAGAATGATCCGATTGAAAACTTAGGCTCCAGTCCATTCTCCCCGGTGCTCCCACGCAGCCGCCTGTTCCCCGGAGTGGAGAGCCTGAATGCCCAGCGCAGCCAGGCTTGCTGGGTTGAGTGCCACAGGTGAAGAGGCCCCGAGACATGTTTTACTGCAGGGCGTGTGTGTGTGTGTGCGTGTGTGGGGGGGTGCTCTTTAATTCGCTCACTTGAGGAAGGAAGAGAATCTGAACTTGACTTCCGTTCCCAGCCCGGAGTTAAAAAAAAAATCTTCCTCTGTATAATTCTGCTTGACATTTTTAGTAGGAAGCCTGATAATCTTAGGTAGTGCCTGAATGCTGCTTTCGAGGGGACACTTAGGAAATAGCCAAGATGTGACAGGGTATCTGTTCTCACTACAGAGACGTGGTTTTCTTTAGACGGTACTGGGGCAAACACTTCACTTGTCTGGCCAGTTCTTTGAATTCCTTTGGTCAGGCAGTTTTTCTGGGAAGAGAATGTAGGTATTTTTTAATGAAGGGAGGTTTAGAATTGTTATATCTAGATTTTTATTTACAGCTTCAGCTTTTGAAGCCATTCTTAATGTAGATCAGTGACTTTTCAAACAGGGCACCTGCACTTCCAAGAACCCCACAGTGCTCTGAACATAGGCGATTGAACGTAGCCTATTGGAAACAGAACCATAGGTCCCATTGGCTGTGTCTATGCAATATTGAACTAGGAAGATTGATTTATTTATTTTCAGGAACAAACTTAACTCCATTTGTGAATGTTTGAGAATACAACTTTTGCCCAGCCTGTGTGTTCTCCATGTTCTTCTTCTTCTTCTTCTTTTTTTCCTGGCTCTAACCTTCGTTTTGGTATTGATGTGGCAGAGAGAAAGGTGCACAGACTCTGAATAAGACAGCCAACTTGCTCCGCAATTTACAAGTTTATTATCTTGGGAAGGCCAGTCCTTCTGAGCCTCAATTTACTCATCTGTAAAATTGAAGAAAACAAATTATACTGGCCCACTCATAGTGTTATCTCGTAGAGTGTCCCTTCCCTGTCAAGTCCCCAGTTATTTTAAAGGCTTGTTACATATGTAATGAGCTTAGTAAAGTCCCTCATAAAGAGTACATGAACAGTGAAGGATAGCTATCATTTATTCATTCAAAAAATATTAACCACTTACAGTGTTCTAAGGACTGTGTTAAATACTTAGGGATGTAGTGGTAATCAAGACAGGACATCCTGGTCCTCCTGGAGCTTGCATTCCTGTTCTGGTGATGGTTCTGGTTTATTGTGCTATTTTTTTTTTTTTTTTTTATTGGCCTGTGTGGAAGCTTCAGGTTGGCTATTTGCTTTTTGTTTTTGCTCTAAAAGATAAGACTACTATAAGGTGGTATGAGGGAAACTTTTTCTTAGGCTGGTGGTACCTCTTAGTTTGTAAGCATTAAATTGGTTGTGGTGCCCCTGTTATTACTCTCTGAAATAGCAAACGCAGGTGCATTGAGCAGTGCTGTATGTATTTGTGGGAAGCTGTTTATTTCTGATTAAGAGCTTATTAAGTGAAGGGAGGGAGAGAAAGAAATGGGCCAAACATTGCTATAATCAGGATCAGAGAAGGTACAACTTATGTTAGAGTACTGAGGTGAATTTTATGATGTCCATTTCTTGGTTCTGTCATGGCGTGAAGTCTCAGTGAGTGATACACCTTGATTTGAAGAACCCCTCACTGCAGTTCTGTGGTTCATGATAACTGAACATGGATGCTAAGGCATCCTGTGTTCAAAATCAATGAATAAGGAAACTATTAATACAAATATGCCCTTTTTTTGGCTATTATAAAGCTATGCTTTATACTGTAGGGGTATGGGAGAGGTAGCATTGAATTTTTAAAGGAAGAGGCAACAGATGAGTAAACTCTCAACTAAGACTCAATTTTATAATTTTAAGATGACATTAATTGGACTATCTTTAGTATTTTAAAATATAATATTTCAGTTTTTTTCTTAATTATGGCATTACATCTTGTGATTATGAATATTGCAAATCAAAATAATTATTCAAAGGAAGGAGATAATCTACATTCTGTTAAACTTTTAAATGGTTTGTTCTCACTGTTGAAGTCAGTTTTTATCTGCATCTGCAAACATGCAAACTTAATGACTTAAAGTTAGTAGTTTTCTTTGTAGTTTATAGGATGGTTTTATGTCTTGTAGCTCTTGGGCAGTGTGGCCAGTAGGGCAGGGTAATATTTAGCTCTTAGTTGTTCATTGTTTGTCAGTAGGTGTAAATAACTACTTATTCTGTAAAAGATTTGCTAGCTAGGGAAAGCTTGGGGAAGCTATGGTATGGTTATAGTTGAAGAAGCTGAACCGGTTGCAATTGTGCATCTTGAGTAAGTTGAATATTAATCATAAGACTATTGTGCCTCTAATAAGAAATTTTATTAGATACTAGTTTTTAGATGCTAGTTTTTGAGGCTTTTTGCAGGGATTAGAATAAAAGACAAGGAAGCATGAGGAAGTGCCATCCTCCTACATAGTAAACATCTGCCTGCACATATTGTAACATTTTGATGGTAGATGGACAAGTTATTTTTAGGATCTAGTAATCATGTTAGATTATATCTATCTAGTTTCATTCTGGAATTCTGGTTCCATTAGGCCTTTGCTTTTTTGCTTCAGACCTAAAAATATATGAAACCTTGATCATAGTGTAGCTAGTTTTCAGTGGGCCTGGATTCCAAGTTTTTTTTTTTTTTTTTATAAATTCCTGTTTTGTAGATGACCATGGTTCACCACCCCACTCATTACTGACTGCCACCAGCATACCTGGGCTGCTGAGGCTGTCTTAATTCACTCAACAACTCTTTAGTGGATGGAGTTAGTTTACATAATGATTGCCTTTGCATTTGGTAGATCTGGATTCAAATCCTGGCTTTTCAAGTTATTTGCCACATGACCTTGGGCATTTAACTTCTCTGGGCCCTAAAAATTTAGTTTCTACTTATGTAAAATGGCATTAAAATGGATAGTACCTACCCATTCATATGTATGTTGTAAGATATCTCTCTATATCTATTATATATATTAATATATAAACATATTTATATGTATATGTTAGAGGAGTGCCTGACTTAGAAGCTTATGAAATATTTGCTGTTTGTCATAGATCTTGGGAATAGTCTCTGAAACGGAGGTTTGTGTGTGAGAGGTTTAGTGGGGAGCACTCTTGGTATCATTCCTAGTGGAGGAGAGAGGAGTTGAGCTGTGCTGTGACTGCAACAGACTCCAGCTGATCTCCCAGTGGGGGGCTCTGGGTATGAGGGCAGATCTCCCTCACCTCACTGACTGGCCATTTCGACGTGGACTACCCCAGGAAGAGAACATTACCTTGGGGGTGGCATCTCTTCAGCTGCGAGCTTTTGTGAAGAGGGACTCAGTTGAGAGGCTTCTGCTCTGAGTGAAAGGAGAGCCATTCTTATTCCCCAGGCATCATTAGTGTCTCCACTTAGACCACTAGTACCAGTCACATGCAACCCAGGTGTGGGATAAATATTTCTCACCAACAACTGACTAGGCCTTGTGAACCTGACTGGGAGTTAACCACCATTACAACAATGTTTTGATGGGAAAATGTGTTCTGAATTCCATACATCTGTTTACAAGTAGATTTTTGAAGCACCACCTGTTCTCTATGAACAAAATTTGTGTTTTGCTGTATACTTAGGCCATTAAACACACTTTTTATAACCCTAGGTTTGTAGTATACTTTAAATAGTTTTTCTTTTCAGATATTTAATTCCTACTACATTTAAATTTCTTATATTCATCAGAAGTAAATAAAGAGTGTTTGCTGTTTAGTTATCAAGGAATATCTATTAGGGTTTATGGTATTTAGAGCACCATTGTGATCTTGGAAGACATTTCCTTGCTTTATCTAGAAGTCAGTTTTTCCAGGTCTTTAAAAAATATCTGCTACTTCTGGACATTATCTTTTGACACCCATCCTTTGTAATGAGGGTTGGTTAAAAAAATACTGTCTCACCCATTAAGGATTCATCCTGTGTACTTTTTGTATTGTAGTGAAGAACTCTTTTGTGCTCTGCTAATGATGATTTATGCACTGTCTGGTCTCTCTCTCTCTTTACCTGTTACAGGACCTTTGCTTAAGTTCTAGAAATGAAATCTTCAATGTCAGTTTTCCACTAAGTCCATGAGTATATTTCGTTCCACGGAGAATTGAAAACAGGAGATAAACCTGGGAGATCTCTTGTAGTATAATCCTCCTATGAGTTTACTTCAGGCTTTTAGCTATGAATAATTTAAAGGTATACTTGAAAGTATTAGGGGGGAAAGTCTATTCTGACTCTGATCGCCAAATCTTTGGCATTTTTAAGGGATTTATTTAATTAAAAATATTGTATTGTTTTATCAGTAATAAAATAAGCATTGTGGAATAACTTTTAAAAAAAAAAGGAAAAGTTTTCTTTGACTTTCTAGTCAAACATATAATTCCACCATTTAGAGATAACCATTGTTAACTTTTTTTTTTTTAAAACTAACCTTACCTGGGAAAACCTTTTGATATATATTCTTGCAGCTTTTTAAAATTTTTTCTTATAGACTTCTGAAAGTACATATGTAGTTTTTATAAAAAAAAAAGTATATATTTTATAATCTGGTTTTTATACTTAAAATATTCTGTGGACATTTTAGCAGAGCAGTAAATATACAGGTGAATTATCTTTTTAAATGATTGCAGGATATGCCCTCATATGTCTGCACCTTGGATAATTTGATCATTTCACTATTTTTTACTTTTAGATTCACATACATTGCTGGGCATTTATTTAGTTATATACTTCCTATAGTTTGTTTCTGCTGCTATAACAAAATACCACAGACTGGATAATTTATAAACAATAGAAATTCATTTCTCATAGTAGTAGAGGCTGGGTAGTCCAAGATCATGGTGCCAGTAGATTCCATATCTGGTGAGGTCCTGTTCCACGGATGGCATTTTCTCACAGTGTCACATGGTAGAAAAGGCAGAAGGGACGAACTTGTTCCCTCAAGTTCTTTAATAATAAGGGCACTAATCCCATCCATGAAGGCAAAGCCCCTGTGGCCTAGTCATCTTCTAAAGGTCCTGCCTCTTAATACTGTTGCATTCGAGTTTAAGTTTCAATGTGAAATTTTGAAGGGACATAAACATTCAAACCATACCCCTTCTTAGGACAAATGCTTACTGTGAACTTGCCGTGTCAAAGGACATGCATATTCTTATGACTTTTAATACATGCTGACAGATTGCCCTATCGAAATGTTGTACCAGTTTGACATTGCCGTGGTCACAGTGCCTTTTCTCTATGGTCTTGCCAGTCCCTGGTTCTTATTGTTTAAAAGGTGTGCTGGGAAACTGCTAGTACCCCAAAATGTCTCAGCAACAGGAGAGATCATTTGGATCCAGAGCCTGGAGCAGATGCGATCATACTTAGGGGAACCTTCCAAGGCTGGATTTTTTTCTACTGGGGACTTCTGTGGTCTTTAGTGATTTGGTGACTAACAGGGACTCAGCAAAATATCTGATAGCATTGAATGATATTTTAGTAGCTGGTAGGTTAGCAGAGATGAAAGCATAGCCTTTGAAATTCTGTCTACATCATTATTCTAATCTTACAAAGTAAGTAAGGTCTAGAGTTTTTAAAGTTTTAGTCAAAAAGCATGGGGTTTGAACAGACCTGGGTATAAAGCTAGGTGCCACAACTTACTAGCAAAGCGACTTTGGGGCAAGTTATTTAACCTTTCTCAGCCTCCATTTTCTAAATGCAACCCTTTGGGTTTGTTTAATTTTTTGAGACAGGATCTTGCTCTGATGCTTGGGCTAGAGTGCAGTAGTGTGATCATAGCTCACTGCAACCTCTAACTCCTGGGCCCAAGCAATCCTGCATCAGCCTCTGAGTAGCTGGGACTACAGGTGCCTGCCACCATACCTGGCTAATTTTTCTATTTTTTGTAGAGACAGGTCTCACCATTGCTCGGGTTGGTCTTGAACTCCTAGCCTCAAAGCAATCCTCCTGCCTCGGCCTCCTAAAGTGCTAAGATTACAGATGTGAGCAACCATGCCCAGCTTGGGGTGTTTTTGAAGGAAAACAATGTATGGGAAAAATCTTGGCTTGGGGCCTGGCAGATATGGAATCCATCAACAATAGCTTTATAAGTTTTGTGCTTTGTTCAACCTTATCCAACTACAAAACTTAAAGCCTTTTTGCTGTTGAGAACAGATGCTGGAAGATATTAAGATGATGGTAAAGGGTCTGTAAATATTAACATAGAAAAAGACCATGGTATATTATATAGGTTGATATTCAGACACTGCTTTGATTATGAATGATCATCTGTTCTTCCCCCATCTTCTCTTTCTGATCATAATTTACCTGGAAAAAATCAGATGATTTAGAAAAAACAAAACAAAACTCCAAAAATTAAATAAATAAAAAGCAAACTGTGAAAATGATTACATCTTTTTTGTATAGAAATAGATGCAAGTAAGTTATTACCTGTGTTACACTAGGGCAGCTGTGAAATAGAGGGCAGGAGCACATGAGGAGGTAAAGTACTGGATTAAATGTAGGGATTGGAATTAAAAATGGGGACATGAAATGAATATGTGGAGTTGATGAGAAGCTGTAAGGATGGGAGGAGCCTACGTGTTCTTTGAGGATCAACCAGGGCTTAATATTACTGAGAGTTAAAGATCCTTTCCTCTCTCCAGGCAGGAACTGGAGAGTTCATTTGTTTGTTCTTTCATTGTTTTGTTTATCTATGCACTTACCCATCCATTTATTAAACATTTATTATGTGCCTACTGTCTTCTATGACTAGAAGTACAATGTTGAATTATACTTGAGAACATCAGAATCCACACCCTGGAGGGCTCATGGTGAAGCTGGCAGAGAAGTATGTAAACATCAGGTGCCACCATAATGTGCTGTGGATGCCCAGTAGGAAAAATGATTTGTTTCCTGGAGGAGGGGACATTTGAGCTGAGTCTTGCAGGAAGAGAGGCAGTTAGTTCTGAAAGTAGAGGAAGAATGTTCCAAGCAGAGGGAGGTGGGAAAGGGTCTTGAGTTCTGCTTGCTGCCAGGAGTTTGATGTGGCTGGTGTGAGGTGTAGGTAGGACATGAGGCTGGGAAGGCATAGGGCCAGACAATGAAATCTGCATATTTTGTAGCCAGTGGGGAACCATCCGCAGAGGTTTGTAAGCAGAGACAAGGTCAGCTGAATCTGCAGAAGGGCATTATCATAAATTGTTGATAAACTTGTAAAGTTATTGTATATTTTAACAGAATGAGTATCTTTTGATGCAGCTTGTCAGAGATTGGAGGCCAAACCTGCCATGGACTTGCAATTTTGATTTCTGAGTGAAGTAGGGGGCACGTGGTACATGCTGCTTTTCTGCCCAGCTTGATGGCAGTGTCACAGCACCCAAGGCTACTGTGTGGAAAGTCGGTGTTAATTGTGGGCACCAGCTATCCTATGCTTTCCAAGCCATGGTAGGTAGCCAATTGAAGTTAACTTCAGAGAACTGAATCCCAGGGGGAGGGGTTGGCATCATCTGAGCAGATAGGGTTTTCTCTAGAGAGAGGGGTTGAGGGGATTGTTCCTATGGTTTATTTTTCATACCTTGGTAGAAAGTGTGTATCTCTGTGCCAAGTTGGGCTAATTATCTTGGTTTGTCATTTTTTTTTTTAATCATCAGTTTTAAAATAACACATTCTGGTCAGGGGAGATGTTCATTGTTTTGTATGAAGTGACTGTGTGTTTTAATTTTGCATATTTCAGAAAGCTTCCAGTTTTCAGTGGTTGGTTAAATAGCTTTATTTAATCAACAGGATGTTTTAGCTTGATTATACTTGAGAGCTTTCTATAAATTGGCAAAAAGTGAGTGTGTTTTTAATACTTAAAAATATGTTCTGATTTTTCAGAAGTAGAAAGGGAAAACATTATTTCTACTAAATTATACTTATGAGGATAATACATGAAAACAGTCTGAGAGAGACAAGAAAGATGTTGAGAGGAAGTTTAAAGAAAAATGAGAAAAGAGGAAGTATGAAATATTAGTCATGTAATTTGCTTAGACTGCATTTAATAAGAAAGTTAGCATGGTTCTCATGTATACTCATAATACAAGATATAAATTTCAAGATACAAATTATTGGGGAGGAAAAACTTTTCTCTGGCCTCTTGGGTTTAGTGATTGAGGGCCTCCATGTTAAATTGGCAAAAGAGAGATTAACAAGAGAAAAGACAAGGTTTAATCATAGAAAAATGTGACTCAAAGGGGTGTTTGGAATTTGGGGCTTACATATCATTTTAATAGGGGAAGGGGGGGGAGAAAAGGACACTTAGGGAAACACAAATGGCTTTCTGTAAAGATAAATGGGCCCTTAGGAGAATAGATCATGATCATGTCTGTTTAGTGTGGTGTGGAGACTTCTCATCTCTGATGATAAGAGTCAGTCTTCCCTGGTTGCTGTCAGGGAGGGGACTTGGGACAATTGAGTTCTGTTTGGGAGGCTCAACTTTTAGACAGATAGGAGATTTCAGGAACTCAGGTTCTTTCAACTCAAAATAATTTATATGCCACAGTGGCATATTCTGGATCACTTTAAAATATATTGCCTTTCAAATCATATCACTCCTTAAAGAGCAATTACAGATAGAGCAAAAGATGGCCCAAGTGTCATAATTCACAATTTCTATTGATTTCATTTTATTGGAAATTCATTAGAAATGGAGAATGCCTTAAGGTATATGCCTTTATAAAACTGATCAAGAGGATGAATTTAGGCAGAAGTTAGTAGGGTATCAAATTGGTCATGTAAGTTAGGGAGCTATTTGCCACATTTAAGATGTATATTTTTCCC